AGGGCCTGTAACAATGTTATGGGACTTTACAATACACACAGTATAATCAAAGTTAATCACACAGACATTGTGATTACAGACCGCAAAGACAAAATGTGCCTTCTTATTGACATGGCAGTCCCTGATGACTGCAATGTATCTTTGAAGATTTTCAAAAAACTATCAAAATAAAAGGACCGTGAAATCGAAATCTAAAAAATGTGGTACGTGAGGACATCACCAATTCCATTTGTAGTTGGGTCCCTCGGATTGGTTTGAAAAGTATTCCAGTAGACTCATTAAAGGGATTCATGATAGCCTATGCCATAAACAAATACAAAAAAGTGTACTTTCAAGTAAAGCCCGCACCTTACGAAAGGCTTTATCTATGCGCGTTCAGTACCATAACAAAGTTGAGCATGTCCCTTGGGTCATGTTCAGTATCTTAACCAGTTGAACATGTCACCTAGCGGCTAGTTGAGTACCTAAACCAGTTGAGTATGTCCCCTTTGGTATCGTTCAGCAACTTAACCAGTTGAGCATGCCCCCTGGGTCTCGTCAAGTATCTTAACCATTTGAGCATGTCTCCTAGCGGCTAGTTCAGTATCTTAACCAGTTGAGCATATCCCCTTGAGGCTTGTTCAGCTACTTAACCAGTTGAACATGTCCCTTGGGTCTCGCTCAGTATCTTAACCAGTTGAGCATGTTCACTTGGGTCTCGTTCAATACCTTAACATGTTGGCCATGTCTCCTAGTGGCTCTTTCAGCAACTTAACCAGTTGAGCATGTCCCCTTGCGTCTCATTCAGCAATTTAACCATTTGATCATGTCCCCTTTGGGCTCGCTCAATATCTTAACCAGTTGAGCATGTCCCCTTGGATCTCGTTCAATATCATAACTAGTTGAGCATGTGCCCTTGCGTCTTGTTCTTTACCATAACCAGTTGAGCATGTTTCCTAGCGGCTCGTTTACGATCTTAACCAGTTGAGCATGTCCCCTTGGGTCTCGTTCAGCAACTTAACTCGTTGAGTATATCCTCTTTCGGCTCGCTCAGTACCTTAACCAGTTGAGCATGTCTCCTAGCGGCTCCTTTACTATCTTAACCAGTTGAGCATGTCCCATTGGTTCTCGTTCAGTACCGTAACCAGTTGAGCATGCCCCCTTGGGTCTCGTTCACAATCGTAACCAGTTGAGATTGTCCCGTTGGGTCTCTTTCAGTACCTTAACCAGTTGAGCATGTACCCTTGCGTCTCGTTCCTTACCTTAACCTGTTGAGCATGTCCCCTCGGGCTTCGTTCAGTATCTTAAGCATTTGAGCATGTCCCCTTGTGTCACGTTCAGTATCTTAACCAGTTGAGCATGCCCTCTTGGGGCTCGCTCAGTATCTTAACCAGTTGAGGTTGTCCCTTGTGTCTCGTTTAGTACCATATTCAGTTGAGCATGTCCTCTTGGGTCTTGTTCAGCATCTTAACCAGTTGCGCATGTCCTCTTGGATCTCGTTTAGTAGCTTAACCAGTTGAGCTTGTCCAATTGGGTCTGTTTCAGTACCTTAACCAGTTGAGCATGTTCCCTTGGGTTTCGTTCATTGTGCATCTCTGTTCGTCAGCGGAAGCAGTGGAGGAGCATCAAGGCCCGATCTTGAGAAAGGTTTATTTAAGCTTGAAAGATAAGGCAGCCAAGGCGACTTGGGAGTCCCATTAGGATATCTTTTATATCTTTATTAAGCCAATGATAGATATATTAGGCTTTTGTACAGTTTTACCCCAGCATCACTTTGTTGGTTTGTTTCTCTGTCACATATTAATATCACCCCCCCATATATATATATATATATATATATATATATATATATATATATAGAGAGAGAGAGAGAGAGAGAGAAATAAATAGATAGATATAAATCTGGTCTAACCTTACCACACAAGGTGTCATGATAGGTATATCACGTATCACTTTGTAGGTGTGTGATATCATGCATCCTCTTGTAGGCGTATTGCTCACTCGCGTAATAATAATAATATATACTAGCAGAAGTACCCGTGCCTTGCTGCGTGTCACACATTTCTTTGTAAGAAAATAATGATTGATTTTAAATCATTGTTATAATTTGCGGAAAAAATAATGCATTTCAGTATTACTCAATGATCTTGCCGATGTGGCCTTCATCTTCTGGCTTTCTCCTTCTATGTTTTGGATAGGGGTCATTCCCTTCTTCAAATTTAAATTTAATTTAAACCAAAGGGAAAAAAATCAGTGGGGACCCACTTTGATCAAAATGAAATATACTTATCCAAGTACCCTGGTTAATGTAGTTTCCGAATCAGTATATATATGGTTATGGGGGTCTATCTCCAAAACCCTAGGAGGAATTTGATAACAAACGGACAGGCAGACAGAGGATACAAGTTTCTATATATATAGTAGTTGTAGATCTAAAGAGAATTGTCCAGTAGAGTGTAAATGCAAATCTACGAGGGTTATATATCAAGCGATCATTTCTCCCAAAGAAAATATGAAAAATTATAATGTTTACATTGGAATTTCTGTGGGGGAATGGAAACAGATTTTATACTCCTAGGTACTCATTTTCTAACGCTAAACTAAAACATCAGACAGCTCTTTCAAAAAGTTTTGGAATTGAAGGTGAAAGGTTTGAGCCCACAGAGAGCTTGGAAAATTATAGGTTACGCACGTACTCCTAATGGTATTAGAGGTAAGTGTGACTCATGTTTAGAAGAAAAAAAATAGAATCATAAAATACAATAATCAAAGTCAACAATTGAATCAGAGGAATGAATTAGTGTTAAAATATCGGCATAAAAATAAATTCAAATTTTCATAATATAGATTTAACTTAATTAGCTACCATATTTCCATAATATTCATTCCCCTCTAATTCTTCAAATGTCGACAGTACAACTAATTCTAATTTCTATATTTAATTTCCCCTTCTATAACCTCTTTTCACTATATTAATTATAATTTATAAACATTCCACTAATTTAATATCTTCCCAACTGTTTTTCCGTTAGTTCCTTACTTCCTTTTATCTATATATTTTAAATTTACTTTTAGACCCATTTTTATTCCTCTTTTAATTTTAAATTAATATTTCATTCTTCATATAACCCCAAATTAATGTCATAAGGTTAATATTCGGGTTTAATTTTATAAAACTTCTTCCCTTTTACCTTCCACTCTCCCTTGGGTAAACACAACAAATTTGGCAGGAGAATTATCCAAAACAGGAAATGACAAAATTATTCGTACCGTATGAAAACTAGAAAAATTGAACAATTGCCACAATATTAATAGTCAATAGCATGGCATCTCATATTTATAACTTGCTGCAATCTTTTTCTAAAGTTTTTGATGAGAACAAAGTCTATTCTGGGATTTTCTTCCATTCTTCAATGCTTACACATAATTCCTGAAGGTTTTTTGGTGACCGACGATTTATTCAAACTTTCAATTCTTTCCATAGATTTTCAATAGGATTCAAGTCAGGACTCATTGAAGGCCATGGCAGAGCTGTAATCATTTTCTGAAGCCACGCAGTCACTGATTCAGACGTATGTCTGGTATCATTATCATGCCACGAAGAATTAAGGCGGTTATTAAAGCAAAAGGTTACCCAACAAAATACTGAATTATTTTTTGACTTGTATAATGTACATATGTACACCTCTGGTGTCTTATCACACATCATCACTTGATAGGACACCAGAGGTGTTAAAACAAAATGGCTAATTTTGTAGTGATTTTATAACATATTTATATTATAATATTTAAATAAATAATTATTCGCTCTACTCTGTATTGAACACTCTTTTAAGAATAGTAATTGTTGGTTATTGGAATTTATTCTGTATACACCAATCATATACTTGTATATATGTGTGTGTGTGTGTTTGTGTGCGTGTGTATGCGGCGTTCTTTGACCATGCTGCTACGAAGATCTTCATAATCAAGCAACGTTCTGTTTACCTTTTAAAACATACTTTACACGTTCAGATTTCTCTCCAAAGTCATAACCGCTCAGTTTCGTATCGAAAACGTAAGCAAAACAATTAATATAAACAATTAATGGATTCTATTTATTAATATTTTTATTACGTTAAAAGTTATTTTTGGTGGATATTCATATTTGAGTAGACGCCGCTTTATTTTAAACAGTATTTTACTTCGTCTCAATCCGGCAAAACGTAATCAGACTGGATGCCATGACAGCTATATTGTTTTTTTTTTTTCTTTTTTTTTATTTGTACCCCAGCATCATTTTATTAGAATTCTTCTCTCGCGTTCAATATTGTTAATGAAAGAAATTGAAACTAATCAGACGACAGTATTATTAAAATTGGGATGAATACCAAAAAGAGTTGTCAATGTGTAAAAAAAGAAAGAAAAATATAGGTGGCCATTATATTTTTGTAATAAGCATACAAGAGACTGTTTATCAATTGTTAAATATTTCGTTTATTTTCATCGCATACTAAAGATAAGTAAGAAATATGAAGACAAAAATAATCATTATTTTTCTGAACTCAACGTATTTCCTTTTCCTTCTCTTCCAATATATAAGGAACATTTTCCGTTTCGTAAGATCTATACAGGAAGAAAACTTTCATAAGAGGAAAGTGTAGGAAAATGTATATTTAATTGTTAAATGGGGGTGGCAGTTTGAAACCGGAAGTTATGTAGAAGTATATCTGCCTACATTCTGACGTGGTCCAGCAGAGAGAGAGAGGGGGGAGAAAGAGAGTTATTTTTAATTCTTAAATGTGGACGACAGTATTTTTAAATAACGGAAGATGTGCTCAGTTATGATCTCCCACGTTTTAACGAAGAACAGCAGAAAGAGAGAAAGAGTAATTAAGAGAGAGAGAGAGAGAGAGAGAGAGAGAGAGAGAGAGAGAGAGAGAGAGAGAGAGAGAGAGAGAGAGGGGGGCGAATAAAAGTAAGAGGATGGTTGTTTAATTTGTTATTCAATTTGAAATTGATAAATGTAGAGGGTTATATTTTTAAGATTGTGCAGGAGAATGGTCAGTCACGGAAAACACCAGAGAGATAGATAGATAGATAGATAGATAGATAGATAGATAGATAGATAGATGAGAGAGAGAGAGGGGGGGAGAGAAGGACACTAAGGAAGAAAGAGAGATTGGTGAAGGAAAGAGAAAGAAACTATGAAGAAAGAGAGACTGGGGAAGAGAAAGAGAAAGCGACTTGGGAAGAAAGAGAGACTGAGGAAGAGAAAGAGAGATTTAGGAAAAAAAGAGGGTAAGAAAAAGAGAGATTGAGGAAGAAAGAGAGACTCGGTAAAAGAAAGAGAAGGGGAAGAAAGAGAGATTGAGGAAGAGAAAAAGGGAGACTGAGGAAGAAAGAGAGACCGAAGAAGAAACAAGAGAGAAGCTGAGGAAGTGGGGGTTAGAGAGAGAGATTGTTTAATTTTAAATCCATAAATGTGGGTGGTTGTGTTTTAATTCTGAAATGTAAGCGAGATTATTTTTAAGACCGGATGTTGCGGAGTGGCAGGATCTCCAGCGTTCTGAGGAGACATAACAGAGTGTATGTGTGTCTGTGTGTGTGTGTTTGTGTGAGAGAGAGAGAGAGAGAGAGAGAGAGAGAGAGAGAGGCAAGAGAGGGGGATGGAAAGAACAAAGAAGAGAGAGAGAGAGAACAAAGAAGAGAGAAATTAAAGACTTAATTTTAACATGATAAATGCAGCAGACTGTATTTTAATTGTCAAATATAGGTGGCAATGTTTTAAAAATCAGAAGTCGGGGAAAGGTATTATCTCCCACATTGCGAATGGGCACGGCATAGAGAAAGTAAACGTTTGTGAAAAGAGAGAGAGAAAGAGAATGAGAGAGAGAGAAAGAGAAAGAGGGAGAGAAAGATAGATAGATAGATAGATAGATAGAGAGAGAGTGAGATTAATTTTAAATTGATTGAAGCAGGAAAGTGGTTATTATAAAAAACGAAAAATTATTAAATCAAAGACATGAGATAACGTTTTTTTACCGACACCAATAAATATTCGCCTTAAGTAATTAGCTTAAAATTTTTTTTCAAAATCTATAAACAAGTTCAATTAAAGAAATAGGTTTAAAAACACAACCCTATCATAAGCTAAAAAAAAAAAAAACACCTTTAAGAAGTCAACAAAAATAAATTGTAGTTCAATACGACGTATTCATATACAAACAACCCTTTAAAAAAATCTTTATGTATCCGAGTACAAATTTAACGGCGAAACAAATGTGCCCAAAATCTTTCTGTGGTTGAAAAAGACCAGATGGCATGCGTTGAACGAATGTCATCATTCGTTTGAAAAAAGGCACCCCTACTCTACCTTGACTTAACCTCTTTTTGAAAGTAACTAATATGTTGATACAGTAGTTGTCAGTGAAAACGAATACCCTATCGCCCGTTGTTAATATGATTGGTTTTCTCCATATCCATAGAAACTAATATTATGAATATATGTGCTTATAAAGCTCCGTAAATTTCTAAAGAAGTTGTTCCAAAATTCGCTTGAAAATACAATAGAACTAGGTACTTTAATTTAATTCTGTAATTGAATTGGAAGGTTTTAGCTTCTGTTTTTGAGACATGGTAATTCCTGTGTAGCGATGCAATCATATTAAAAAAAAATTATATATATATATACATTTCCCAGAAAGCCTAAACAATCCTGCATTGTGAAACCTATGACGCGTATTGGAACTATATCACAGGAATCACACACACAAACGTGTACGCGCACACGTACACTAAGAGATACTCTCGTTATTTTACCCGGAAATTGAATACATAACGCATTATAGCGTAGTCGACGTAACTGCAGTAGAATAATCGATAGCAGTTTCGGTTTTAACGACAAACGTTTTCTTTTAATATATTTTTAATATTTTAAAATGTTATATATATATATATAATATATATATATATATATATATATATATATATATATATATATATATATATATATGTATGTATGTATGTATATATATATCCCAGAAATCATAAACAATCCTGCATTGTCAAACCTATGACGCTCAGTGGGAAAGTGAGGTATCATAGGAAACACGCGCAAACGTATCCCAGCACACTAAGAGATGCTCTCTTTTTGTCACCCGGAAATTGAATATGGCGCAGTCGTAACCGCGGTTGAATAATCGAATAATGGCGGTTTCCGTTTTAACGAGAAAACGTTTGCTTTTGAATCGACACGATCTAATTCTGGTAAAAACTGTATGACATCTTTTTATGACATCTTTTATTGAATGTTTGTACATCTTTTGGGATTTATATTCCGTTTATCAGCTAAAGATTTACATTGATTTCATTTTTCAAATGCCACAGTCCAATTCAGTCTTATAAGAGATGATAATTCAAAATTCTTAGAGAGAGAAGAGAAAGAAAAACCAAAAGCGGGCTTAGAGTAACATGTGTCGTCTCCCTTCAGGACGTAGGCGGTCATAGCTCTCCACAAGTTCCTATCTTTTGTAGCTCTTAATAAATTTTATCTTTTTGTTATCTGCCCTAAACCATGATCCTCTATCCATTACTCAAGCTGTTTAGGAAGGTTATGCGTTGTTTTCCTCTTTCCCTCTTACCTTCAATTAGTCTTTTGAGTATTAAATTCTCCAAGCTCCCTTTCCTCATTATGTGCCCTAGAAATTTCAACTATCTCTTCTTGACGTTAAGTATGTGTCCATTTTGTTTCCATTTTCTGTATAGGGTTGTTATAATTCCAGAAATTTTTTTTTTATTATTATCTTATTTAGGATTTAATATAAATTCATTTAAAATGGAGCTTTATTTTAGCAATCCGGAACCCTTCAAGTCGATTTGTAGGGAGTGTTCACTCTAATGATGACAGAGAAACAATTAAAATTACGTTTTTGTTTAAACTGATCGTTATTTGATAAATGTTTGTAAATTGAAGATTTTTTTTATTTGCAACAAAATGTTTAAATTGATCAACGACTCGGCCATAGAATCACTCGGCATTTTATTTTGATTTTGAAAACAAGGAACCAATTTTCTAAATTGTGAAAACAATTCTTAATAAGACAGCACCCCAACAAATTTTTTGACTAAATCATTAATTTTAAATTGACAAGTTTTTGAATGGTTCACTCCCAAGTATTGAAGTATTTTAAAAAAAAATGTACCTACTTATCACATATTTTGTCTTGCTTAAAAGAATGATATTTTTGTATTTGTATTGGATTTTGAATAAAAATTTACTTTTTCTTTTAAGCAAACTCAATAAAGAGATAGATTCGCTCTCTTTCTCCGGTATTTTGTACAGGAGAAGAAGTTTATCTCTTGTTTTCTGTTTAGGATTGAGTTCGCTTCCTAAATTCTTCTCATTCCCTTTCACTCTCAGTAGCCCTTTGTGTCTTAGTGGCATTATCGCCTTGCTTGGGGCGAAATGATTAAAAATAAAAAAATAAATTAATAAAAAGAGAACATGCGAACAAAGTGTAGGAATGTGTTACATGCTTTCTCTCCGACCCTGAAAATGAAAGCTGGTGGATGTTACGAATGCTGTCTTTGCTCACAATTCCGGTTCGTCATCTTAACAGAGGTTGTGTTACCCACAAGTCAGAAGTACATCTCTTAGCGGCGTCTAACAGAAGACTGTACAAGTAGGGCTCCTCTGATTGGTCGTTCAGTGTCATATGATTGTCCAAGCGCTGTGAATACTAATTGGGGAAAGCGAAGGAGAGTTAACACAATATTAGCCTATTAATAAAAATCGTAAAATTCGCTATTAATTATACGTTTATAAAAATCCAATGTTAGACTACCACTTATTCTATCAATTCACCCCAAGCAAGGAACTAATGCCACTAAGATGCAAAGGGCTACTGAGAGTGAAAGAGGAATCGGGAACCCAATCATAAACATGAAACAAGGAATAAAACTCTACTGTTCAAAGGACGGGGAAAGTGTGTGAACAGGGTGATAAAATGTGTTCTTGTCTGTGAATAAGGAGAGAGAGAGAGAAAGAGAGAGAGGGAGTGAGAGAGAAAAAGAGAGAGTGAGAGAGAAAGAGAGTGAGAAAGAGAGAAAGAGAGAGAGGGAGAGTGAGAGAAAGAGAGAGAGAGAGAAAGAGAGAGAGGGAGTGAGAGAGAAAGAGAGAGAGAGAGAGAGAGAGAGAGAGAGAGAGAAAATGATAGAGATAGAGAGACCTATATACTGGGAGTAAAAAGGAATGAAGCGTTATTTAGACGGAACCGGAAACCCAGTCCTGAATAGAAAACAAGGGAAAAACTTGTATCCATTTTCAAAATTCCGAGGGGGAGTATGAACCAGACGATAGGTGAGTCTATCTGCTCTTATTTTAGATAGTTATATAATTCCCACGAACATAACTGGTCGATTTACGAGCCGAGTTAAAGCCAAGATTCTGAATACTGATTTTCTACATAGGCAGACCCTTCCTACCTGACAAATTGACATCAGACATTTCTCTTTTATTTGGCTTTGTGCCGTACTTAGCCAAGTTTACTAGTGATCAACAGTTTATCTTAAGTGATTTTAATAAATACCAGAATGACAACTTCCTGCGTGACAGTGAAAAGTGGGCGTAATAATAAAAGGCTTTGGTGTTCTGAGCTTCAGCCTAACCGACCGCCATTTTAACTTTGTGCGATTAAATTAAAAAACTGAAGTCGGTAAGCGACATATCGAGAAAGAAAATCAAGAAATAATTTATTCCCAAGATTTATTTATATATTAGTTTTTATGGTAAAATCATAGAAATTTTTTGTTTGAATGTTCACTCGTAATAAAGTAGTAAGCATTTCTATACGTCTGGTGTTTTGATCATATGGTCACTGGACTAAAGAAAAATTGATTGATCGATTTGTTTTCAACGGGTTATCAACCCTATGCAGGTTATTTAAAGCCAGAAAATATCTTTAGATTGTAAGAATTTTTTTGTAGATAATGATTTAATGATACAAGTCTTACTAATTAACCCATAGCTAGAGGGAGACGAAGAGGTGAATTCATACCTAATCAGAATCTGATAAACAAACAAGAAATTATAACGTGAATATAAAGTGGGGGATTATTTCCTTATTACATTAAATATATCAACTGAACCCTCATTTTATGGCCACGGTCGTTTCTATACATTTATATTCCACAGAATATAAATAAATCTAAAAGACAACTCGTGTAACTAATCAGTATTTTATTGATTGATTCTTTTTTTTACGGCTTATCAACCCTTTGCAGGTTATTTAAAGCCAGAAAATATTTTCAGATTGTAAGAATTTTTAGTGCAGATAATAATGGTTCACTGACACAAGTTCGACTATTGATTAATTGATTCGTTTTTTATGGTTTATCAATCCTTTGCAGGTTATTTAATGCCAGAAAATATTTTCAGATTGTAAGAATTTTTAGTGCAGATAATAATGGTTCATTGACACAAGTTCGACTATTGATTAATTGATTCGTTTTTTACGGTTTATCAACCCTTTGCAGGTTATTTAATGCCAGAAAATATTTTCAGATTGTAAGAATTTTTAGTGCAGATAATAATGGTTCACTGACACAAGTTCGACTATTGATTAATTGATTCGTTTTTTACGGTTTATCAACCCTTTGCAGGTTATTTAATGCCAGAATATATTAGTAGATTCTAGGAATTTTTTTGAGATAACAATGATTTAGTGATACAAGTCTTACTAATTAACCCATATCTGGAGGGAGAGGAGTTGGAGTCATACATTTCCGAATGGTATTTATACGTAAGTGAATATAAAAACCACAACTGAACTTGGACCTTGGCAATGATTTCCAATTCTGAAGCGTTATCCATTACGCCATACACACATTCAAGTTTACAGCACCTGGTATTCACAAGCGGTCACCCATCTTGGTACTGACCAGGCCCGACGTTGCTTAACTTCGGGAGTTGTACGGGAACCGGTGTTTCAACGTGATCTGACCGCAAGCACTAAAGAAAAGAGATAGCTTATGCAACACAGTACATCGTATTTTATTTAAGTAAACAAATGATAGTGATTTTTTCGTTTTTCATGTGGCCTTTTTCCTGTTATTGATGTCATGGCATCCATTTTCTATTGACAGACTTCCTATTGACATCACTTACAAGGAAGAGAAACCAATTTCACTTTTAGCTTATTCTATTCATCAGAAAAATAGGAGTGTTTTGTTGCACTTCAAATTTCTCTACAGGAAAGATAAAATAAATTCTATTTTTGAGAATTTAATATTAATAATAATAATAATAATAATAATAATAATAATAATTTTGGGTGGAAATCTAGCACTCGCCAAGACCTTGTACCGGCATACATTTATATAATCTTAAACTCAGAAAAATGCCCCAAATGGCTCACCCGGAGATTAACATACCTACTCCCAATAATAGAAAAAACGCAGAAGCCTTCACTTCTGTCATAACCGAGACGACATACATCTTCCTTGAGAACAGTAATTTACTCTCAGCAGAACAGAAGGGATGTAAAAGAGCAAGTTACGGGTGCAAGAACGAACTAATTATCAATAAAACAATATTGGAAGAGGTCGAAACAATGAAAAAAGAACTTATCGATAGCATGGATCGATTATAGAAAGGCGTTTGACAAGTGTACCTCACTCATGGATAGAGAAGAGCCTAAAAATATACAGAGTATGCCCCCACAGTGAACTTCATAACAGATTGCATGTAAAACTGGATGACTACACTAAACCTAAGCCATACAAACGGGTCATTAACATCGAGGATAATAAACATAAAAAATGGGATCTTCCAAGGAGATTCATTGTCATCACTACTCTTCTGCCTTGCATTAGCGCCACTCAGCTGCCTACTGAACAACATTAGCTACGGATACAAGTCATAGAATGGCAAACTGAATCGCCTATTTTATATTAATGATCTTGAAACGTTTGCCAAGGATGACAACCAGCAGAAAAAAAAAAAACCTTCAGTGAAGATATTAGGATGGATTTCGGAATCGACAAATGTGTCAAATCCACCTTTAAAGGCGTTAAAATAACCAAAACTACAAATTTAGACTTTGATATCAACAACAAGATTAAGGCACATACAAATATTTAGGAGTTAATCGAGACGGAATACAACATTCAATTATGAAGAAAAATACCCGAAAAGAATATTATATGAGAGTGCGTTTGATACTAGAAAGCGAACTTAATGAGGCCAATAAAATGAAAGCTATCAACGTCTTAGCTATAATCGTAGTAACATACAGCTTCGATATTATTAAATGGATGTTGAATGATATTAAAAAGATTGAACGCCAAGACCAGAAAAATGCTTAACCAAATGAGAAATGCACCGCCCGAAATCAGATGTTGATAGGCTGTATGTATGAAGAGCTTTAGGAGGCCGAGGTCTAATCCAAGTTGAATTAACTCTAAAAACTACAACAATTGGGTTGGAAGCATACCTCACAAAAAACGAATGACACTCTCCTACAAATAGTAAAACACCAAATCTGCTCCATCAACAAAAAAGCTGCACTCTTCAAGAAACAGCTTAATATACCTGAAATTCTATCAACAAAAAACGAAGCGAATGCCATCTACACTAAAGTAAAGCAAAAAACAAAACAACTTGGCCAAATGAAATTCAGCAAAACTAGAAGGACAATGAGTTGCATGGCAAATACTTAAAAAGAACGAAAGAAGCATATGGGAGTCAACAGAAAACACATCAGTGGCTAAGGTGCTAAGGCAGAAGGCCTAATTATTGCAGCTCAGGGCCAAAGCCTCACAACCAGATCCTATTACTCTCACATAATCAAGGATGAAACTAACTCAAAACGCAGGATCTGAGGAAAATATGACGAAACTGTCGACCATATTATCACGGGATGTCTGGAACTAGCAAAAAATGAATATACCCACAGACATAACAAAGTAACGGTATATGTACACTGGAAGATATGCAAGAAGCACAAACCACTGAGAGATAGTATGAGCAGCAACTAGACACAATTACCCAAAATAACGATGTAACGATCCTCTGGGATATGCCAATTCAAACTTATAGGAAAATAAAAGCCAACAGACCTGATATTATCATAAAAGACAAGAAATTCAGGAAGTGTATGTTTACTGACATAGTCGTACCATCTGAGAGAAACACCTCCATGAAAATTATCGAGAAATTGTCCAAATACAAGGACCTGGAGATCGAGATTAAAATGTAAAAATCAGACAATTATTTGATTTTTGCAAGAATTTCCAAAACAATGTGTTTTTAACAACAAAAACGACGCTAAAATTTCCAATATTAATCATTGGTCCACACGTTGAGGCCAGAAAATCAAGATATTTAACCAAAAATTCGAACGTGCTAGAAAGGATTAAGAATTTTATAGAATAATAATAAAAAGATACTTTGTTTTTTCTTTGTTTTTATCAAGTTTGTGTCATTTTTCATTATGGTATGGTCATTTTAGAAAATTTTTGGAGACACCTCATTATATATATATATATATATATATATATATATATAATTAAAAATTATCAAACTCCCATAGGTAATAATTTTTATTTCATGAAAGCTTAAAATCCTATAAGTGTTTGATATTCTTTAATTAATAATAATTTTGATCTGTCTTTTGACATAGAGCTCTCCCTGGATCTTTATCCTCCCGGGAATTCCATACAGATTACCATATTGTATCATTACATATATATATATATATATATATATATATATATATATATGTGTGTGTATATATATATATATATATATATATATATATATATATATATATGTTGTATAAGAGTAAGTGTTGTTGCTGACACTGTGGTTTGAAACTCGATCGCCAGTGAGTAACACGGCGATTCCATTATTAAGTAGATCATGTGATCATGAAGGAAGTGAATAAATAGGAAGTAGCGTGAAAACTATACTAGTACTGTTCACTTTTCTTATCTATCCACCATTGCTATACAAATGACGTCACATATTATGAAATGGACAAAGCCCGATAATTATTTTAAGACATTTTTATGTCTATAAAAAAGAATGTATAAACATAAAAATATCTTAAAATAATTGTCGGACTTTCTACATTTTTAATGTTGACATCATTTGTTTACATTTGAATACGCATCGAGCAGATATGCATGTACGCGAGAAAATCATGGAAAATTGTAGTTTAAAAACAGTAAAATCGACCTCGCTAACTGAAACGCTCCTCTGTGGCGAAATCGGTAAAAGCACGTCAGGCTATATGACAGTTCCGTATAGGATACAGGTTCGATTCCTGTCGGAGGACGCATATTTTCTATGAAATTTCTCGGATATTCAGGGCGGTAAATATCGTTAATACTGTTTATTATAAAATATTTATATCTATAAAAAAGAATATAAACATAAAAAGAGTTTAAACATAAAAATGTCTTAAAATACATACACACACACACATATCTATATCTATATCTATATCTATATATATATATATATATATATATATATATATCCAAGTATAGGATTAGTGTATACGGAATAAATTCCAATAACCAAAAAGATGCTATTAAAAAAGTTTTCAATACAGAGTAGAGCAACTATAATTTATTCGAAAATTATGACATAAATATGTTATAAAATCATTATAAAAATAGCCATTTTGTTTCAAAACTTCTGGTGTCTTATCAAGTGATGGTGTTGAATGTAGAATAAAGGGTTTTAAAAGGTTCAAATCAACCAAACACCCTTCAATAGGGAAAACACTGTTACATAAGCTGGAATGACCTATAAAAATAGAAGTATATGAAAATTCAAAAAACTTGACAATAAACTTTGGTTATAATAATTAATGCTTTAATATTAGGGTTAGACTAAAATAGAAAACATTCTAACTAATTAATATTAAAATTTTACTATAAAATTGAAAATTAAAAATGACCAATTTTAAATTTTAAATTTAATCTGTACTAAGTTTAACATATAAAATTATTTAAATAAACTGAGGAGAAATATATATTATTTATTTTGTTTTAATTGAAAGACCAAAATCTCAGAATAAACGTTAATCTAATAGGGATGTAAAACTTCGTTATAACATAGATACATTTAAAGTGGTGATATTGGCAGGGGAGGGTGAAATCTTGCAAAAGTCAATACATACACAATCAGATTGTATATATATATGTATGTGTGTATGTATATTATATATGTATCTATTTTTAGGGATGAATGTGTGTACATATACGTATGTATGTATTTTTATATATATTGTTATATATTTGTACTCGTATATGTGTAATCATGCGTATATAAGTATATATGAGATATTTATATATATTTGTGTATTTATGTGTTTTCCTTTTTATATATTAGAGTGTTTTATTTTATTTTAAGTGTTGCATTTTGCTTGGACATTTGAATTTGGTGTTTTTTTTATGTATGTATATGTGTATATATTTATTTTTTCTACCCATTTCTGTATATTTTATTGTCTATTTTCTTTTTCCTTTGCGTTGTTCATTACCGAATATTTGTTTTTCTATCCCCTCCTCTTAAATTTGATCTATTGAACCCTCTTTTTATCTATATATCTTTGCTCATGTAAGTAATATTTTAATAGTCTGAATTCGTTTACTAAAACTTTCAAATTTGAATCTTTCTAGGTGTGTATATATGTGTGTCTTTATTAATGTTTGTGTGTATGATCGCTTATATATGCCTCTCATTGTATGTATATGTTGTCTGTTTTTTTTTTTAGTTTCTTTCCTGGTTCGTTCGAGTTTTTGCGTGTTTATATATCTAAATATGTCTATGTGTTTGTGTATTATAATCTGATTGCGTATGTATTGTCAACCGTCTTTTATGTATCTGAGCGCTTTCAGTTATTCTATTGGTCATCATCATTATTTAAAAACTGAATATGTAGATTTCAAAGGCTTACTACACAAGCTCTACAGTTATGGGGTCAGTGGAAGGCC